TAGAGGAAAGCCCAGCAAAAACTTTGAGGAAAATTAATCTCCCCGACTTGTTTTTCGGTCACTATCCAATCCATCTGTCAGGATCTCTCACTCATGATCAAATGAGATACCTAAACTCCTCCACTTGGAGAAGAAACTCTTCTCTTACACGAAGTGGCTACTCCAGCCTTTTCTGGCTGACTGCTATGAACTCAGACCTGATTCTTGTTCCTGTTCTCTCACAATAGACTGCAAATCGCTCCAGTGTGAGCTCAATGCTCACACTACCTGATGAAACCAACAGGACCACATCATCTACAAAAAAGGGACAGATGAGACGATGAGGCCACCAACACGCAAGCCTTCAGTCACTTGGCTTCACCTAGAAATTCACTAAAAAAGGGCACCTCACCAGAAATGAATCCCTCTTATTGTTGGCATTTCAGACAAGCTCTTGTCACAATTGTACACGGTTGTAGCTTGTAACGGGCCCCATAGTCCTTAAGCACCACCTAAGTATACCCCAAGGGATGCTGTTGAATGCCACCCCCAAGTTTACAAAACTCATGTAGACTGGATGGCCAAACTCCCATAAACACTTGAAAATGTGTGAGTTCAATAAAGAGCTGGTCCAGCATGAAAACCAAATTGTTCTTCCTGGATTTGAAGTGCGACTAATGGACAAACTTTCTTTTCCTTTACCCTAGCACAAACATTCCCAGGGAGGCCGAGGAGAGCCGTCTCCCTCTAGTTGGAGCACACCCTTTCAGTCCCCCTTCTTAAATATAGAAACTATCACTCAAGTCTCTCATTTCACAGGCACCACCCCAGATCGCCATGCAACATTGCAGAGGTGTGTCAACAAGACAGTTCTACCACAGCCAGAGTGTTAAGGAACTCCGGGAAAACCTCATCCAGGGGCCCAGCCATCAAACTACCTCAGTGACCTTGACCCCAGTGATGTTTGAGTTCTTCTACAGAAAATGTGTCAGTGGGATTAAGGAGGTCATCAAGTATTCCCTCCACCATCCAACTAGTTGAAGTTGCCAGCACACCACCTGCACCAGAATTGCCTCAAGCCAAAAGTCTGTTTCCATGGCCTCACCAAACTCCTCCCACACCCACGCTGTGCTTTAGCAATCACCTGAGCTGTGAACAAAGTGAAATTTGATTTTCTTTGAAAATTTGATTTTCTTTGAAAATTTGATTTTCTTTTTTTGACAGAATGCAGGGGATGGTGGGACCATGTTAACTGTTGGCCCCATGCTGCAGTTGGAGATGTTGTGTCTCAGCCATGTCCTGGATTTCTACACACCACTGGTTAGTAGTAGGGCCATACAGTAGTGCATATTTTTAAACTCATAGCTTGGCTATGTTAGTCACATGATTTGATATCCCTGTGTTGCTGTAGTTTCTACATCATAATAATAATGTAAGTCTAGAATCAGTATCACAATTTACCAGTGATGCTGTCTGAGCATTCAGTTAGCATTAACCAAGAAACAAGCTAATGTTATTAAAAGCAAACATGAACAAACTAACATAAGTTTAATATAACAGCACAACCAAGTTCACAATATATTTATTATATGTATCATAAATATATTAATATATTGTATAAATTAATAAAGAAAACACTTGAAATGCTTACTATTTCTACCAGAAAAGAGTTTTCTATAAACAAGTACATTTTCCCCCACATTGCACAGTAATGGCATCACAAAGACATGATTGTTCAGTTGCAATGTTGATCCTGGACCAACACTCCTGACAACAAAGAAACAACAACACAGGGATGTTAGATACTGTAGGTCTTACCTTGATGTCCGTGGTGAGCTGGAGTGAACCTCTTGGATTGTGGTATAATTAGATTCACACACTCATTGTCTCCAGGGGGTTGAACTAGATTAACCTTTATCCTATATATTACAAAAAAACCCTAAATTTCTGCTATTGTTTTTTATGTGTTAACAATAAAACACATTGTATGTATGTGTTCCATTTCTGTAGGGCAAGTTTTCAGGAACTGCACAGAGCTTGGCTGGACTGATCCCTACCCTCCACATGATATAGCATGCGAGTATGGCTTTAATGAAAGCCTTCCTCTAGAAGTAAGCCTCTTCCTTCTTCCTTTCATGCTGTAGCACTCAGTCACCCATCGAACTAACTGAAGGGGGGGCGGTAACAAAACCTGTCTCCCCACTCGGTTATGTCCCCATGTCTGTTTCCTCCCAGTCCTTGTGTCAAGCCCGCTTCTTAGTGTGTGTCTCATGTTTCCTATTTTTTTGATAATCCCTTGTCCTGTGTTCAAAGTGTTCAGTTTTGCTTCCTCCCTTTCTCGTTGTGTCAGATTAGTTCCAGCTGTGTTTTCCTTTTGTTTCCCATCCCCTCGTTATTCTGTTTTTTTGAAAATGGAGATTTTCCGTTTTCAGTGACCGAAAACGCCGTTTACAAGGGGACAAAAGGTGCAAACGCATAGAAAAATCTGCGTGTACGTGTGAACGTAGCCTTAGTCTTCTGTCTTCCTCTGCCTCTTCTCACACTCTCTGCACATAGAAGGAACGTGCAGGAACCCTGCAGATGCAGGGTGAGGGCTGCCAGTTCAGTTTGAATTAATCCTGTTTACATGGCAGTGTTGTGGCAGTGTTGAAAGTTATGATACCAAAAATATTCTTGCCTTTCGTCCAATGAGATAAATAGATACATAGTCATGCAAAAATCTGCTGCTGCTGAACTCACTGGATATATTCATGTTTTTCCCAGGTGCACAGCTCCCAGAGGTACTTCCTGTTTGTGAGAATCATGTACTCTGTGGGTTACAGTGTTTCCCTTGTCTTCCTCATCACAGCTGTTGCTATTCTCTCCCTTCTGAGGTCAGTGATGAGAGAATTAACAAACAACAATATCTGCGTACAACACTGTCTGTTACTTTACCAACTGTGTGTGAGGCACAATTATTACAGATGTCATTAGAAAGTAGTTATTTGATTTATTATAAGACATTTACATTATCAGAGCTATTAGGCCCATGACTAAGTACCCTGTAACTAAATGTAATTTCATTTGAATTTACATGAATTTTAAAAAAAGAAGAAAAACACCTTATATTGTAAGTAATTTGTAAGTAATTTTAAAACATCCTATGTATTTTTAAGTGCGTGTTGATTACTTCATAATTTCATGGTAATTTCTGGAAAAACAAACAATACTTCCCCATCTTACACTGTAAGTATGCTGTACTGGGGTGCAGGCTGTATAACTTTGAGGTATTTTTCATGACACAAATAGCACTGCAAGAAATTTAAGTACAGTGTAAGTAATTTAAGTACAGTGTAAGTATTTTTAACTCATAAAATGACTTCTGCTATTTGTCAATGATGTAAGTATACTGATTTGTTAGCACTTTTTTTGAAAAAAGTTTTGAAAACAAGAGCATCAAGTGATTTATGGAGATCCTTAGCAACTAACTCTGGTCTTAATTCATCATTTAAACTATGAACACAGCATCCTGGAGGTTCCTCTGCTCTCATCCCATTTGTCCAGCCAAAATCTAAAAGTCTATAGAAAAAAAAGAGAACCTGTATCTGTGGCTGATTTTTTTTTCTAACTTTCAACACCACCTGTGCCCACTTCAACCTCCTAGGACCTGGCGTCCACATATGTGGGCATCACATTTTGGGTTGTCTAGACCAAAATACTCAATTTTGCTCTACAAGGGCCTGATATCCACTTACGAGGACATTATACTACCATTGTTCCATCAAATTTTAAAACGAATGTCCTCATACGTGGCTCTCATTTTTCTTAGGAACAAAAATTGGGTAAAAAAAAAAAAATCTGGTGTTTCTTTGTTTTTACATTGATCTGGTCCCAATCAGCCCAAATATCAAAGAGATATTAAAAATGCATGCCGTGGAAGAGTTCAGGTCTTAGGAGGTTAAAGCTTTAAATGATAAGAGCTGAACCATGAAAACAATTTTAGCATGTCTGGTATATGGACTGATTCTTATATAGTGCTTTTCTACTCTCCCAGAGCAAAGTGCTTTATACAACATGCCTCATTTACCCATTCACACAAGCACTTTTCCTATGCTTAAGTGCTTCTTATCCAACATTCACACACATTTATACTCTGATGAATGCATCTCACCTTTGATGCGACTCACTGGTAAATGCTTCAGGCAAAGGTAGATTTGTGAAGCGTTTGTAGAAAAAGAGGGAAGAGTTGGCTGAGTAGTACAGTATTCGAGTCTGCAGGCTTCAACAAACCTTTTAGCTTAGCACAATCATTACAGATCACAGTTATAGATCCAGAGGGTAGATTTATAATCCTTAAGTTATCTATACTTTACAAATGGTTATGTACTGTAAGCATATATGGCCCAAGTGTTGATGACTGATTTTTGCCCTTTTAGTAAAACTCAATATAATTATTTTCTTAACAATAATTTTCTTTTAATAATAAAACATGTAATTAAAGGTCCAACTACAAATTGTCATTACTGTGAGTCAAACATTTGCAGTGTTGCAAAATAACACAGTGCTGCATCTGAATCTCCACTTTATCTGAAATGCCACAAGTACGATGAAGAAATAAAGAAATTTTGTTGTTGGAGAAATGAATGCAACATAGGGAATTCCTCACAATATGTTTTTATTACAATATATTTGATCTATGAACTGATGACTTCACTAAGAAGAAGAAATTAGCACGTTTAATCACTCTTAAATCATGAACACTTCAGTTGTCACATTAACCGTCTGAGCTCCAAACCCTAAGCTTTTGATATCTGTTGCAGAAAAGCAAAGAACGTTTGTGGAAAAATGTAAATACTCGATAAGTGTCAGTTAATAATTGTCAATAATTACTGTTTTTTTTTCTTTTCATTGGAGTAGAAGTAGAGCCCAAAAGGTTACAAACAAAAATGTAACTTTTTTGTTATGGTAAGGTTTACCAGTGACGATGACCTTAGAGGGTTAAATAATCTATTCTCAATACATAATTTATAATTTAACATGTATATATTATCACCACCAAATATATGCATGTATATACACATTTACATTATCTATGATATACATGTTATCAAATAACATGAACGATTATAACATTTGATCCATGTCTGTGTCCCACAATCCTCAGGAGGCTCCACTGCACACGCAACTTTATCCATGTCCAGCTCTTCCTCTCCTTCATCTTCCGAGCCGTACTCATCTTTATTAGGGATGCAGTTCTGTTCTCAAATGAAGACAGTTTTCACTGTCACATCTATACGGTACTTTCTGTTTTTGTCTTAACAAAGAGAGAGAGAGAGGGCACATGCTATGTTGTGACTTGGTAACGTGAGACGTTTAACAAGACAAGACATTAATATTTAACATGTGGGGACAGACACATTCAGATAATGCTGTGCCACTTTTTTCTTCAAGTTCTTCAATTAATGCAAGTGGGTGATACTGAAAAATGAGTTTACTACTTCACAGCATCAACTGTTGATCCTGTGATCACTGCTGTGCCTCAGGAAGTAGAGCAAGTTATCCACCAATCATGGCTTTTCCCCAGTTTTTATCTACTGTGTTTGTGTCATAGATAAAAAGTGTTTAATGTAAATAGATTATGGATTCAAGCTCTGTACCACTATAGTGACCATTTCTGAATGGTACATCGCTGAAAAGCATTTAATATGAAATTCTTGGATACAAAATGAAGAACATGACACTTTTATTTCATTTTCATGCTGACTGAGCAAATATGACGCGTTGTATGGCAAAAACAAAAATACGAGTAGATGGAACAAGATCGTGGACTTTTATAAATCAGAGAATAATTTTGTTAAATGTTTGCGTGTTTTTCAATTTCAAGACCTTCAGTCTCAGATTTTTAGAATATTTTCTGCTGCACCATCTCTGATCTGAATAAAATGTTTAAAGTTTGTTATAATGATTGTTTTTCATTTTAGAATGATATCTTAGAGTTTTTAAGATATACTTTTTAAAAGGTTTGCACACTTTCATGCTATTTTTTCTTTTCCTTTTTTTGCAAATTGAAATCTGAGGCTGAGTTTGAACATGAACATTTTGAAAACTACTAAAGATAAATGTGGGTTTTATGGAGTGATGAATCCCAAGAGATCAGGAAAGAGGCACAACAGTAAGAGTCATCTGTAAAACATAGTGGAAGCTGTGCCGTGGTTGGTTCATTTCAGACTGGGGTTGTTGGGGATCTTGTCAAAATTTAGGGAATTATGAACATAGTACTGTCAGATTTTGATCCACCATCTGTTTCCTTGTAGAAAGAGTCTGATTGGCAGCAAGTTCATATTTTAGCATGACAATGATCTCAAACACACTGCCAACACAAACACACAATGAAAAAATATCAGTCAGGGTTTAGCCTCCCCGGAGCGCAGACCTCAACATTATTGAAGTGCGATCATGTTTAGAGAGAATGGAGCAAAAGGCAGAAACATGCAAAGAAGAGCTTTGAATCTCCTTCAAGCATGTCAGTGAAGGACATTCAATGTCAGTGACCTCCCCCCCCAGTCATAAGTGAGTCATCGCAGATCAGAGAGGCCGTTTCTCTCAGTCACACTCCCCCCAGATCACACTATCACTTCCCATGTGGGTGACCCTGCAGACCCCCAGCAGAACAGCGGAGTCCGTGGATTAGAGTCCTTCACACAACAAAGCCACTCTAAGAAGCCTGGGTACAGTGAACCATCATTTGGCACAGAGGAAAAAACAACATGAGGACCCACTCCCTGACTCTGAGGTGCAGGGAAGCTACCCACTTGTCCACCAGGGAAAACCCCAATATGCATGCAGCGAATCCTGAGGAGCCCACCACCTTTCACATAGGGGATCTTCAGTGGAAATAAGTCCCATCCCTCTCCAGAAACCTTGTTCCACAGCCAGAATTATGCGCTGAGATGAGCCCAGCTATATATAGTCGGTATCTCCCGACCTCACACACCAGCTCAGGCTCCTTCCCCACCAGAGAGGTGACGTTCCCTGTGCCACAGGCCAATTTTGGAAGCTGGGCATCAGAATGCCAGGACCTCTGCCTCTGACTGCCACCCAATCCAAAGAGTATCAAACCCCTATAGACTCCTGTGGTAGTGGACCCATAGGAGAATGGACACAGAGCCTGGTCAGGCCATACGGATTAAGGCTCAGTCACCAGACCCTCACTCTGGAGCCTCTACGCCGGGCCAAGCTCCAGGGTAGGGACCTGGTGACCCTGTCCCAGGCAGGGTACACAGTGCAATAAATCAAGCCTCCAGGATTGCTCTTTGTCTGGCCCTGTCACAGCCAAGGTTATTGGAGGAAAATATTAAGATGAATCACACTAAGATTAGCTGCACTGATCAGTTTTTCGCTGAGCTTTTTCCTCACCTACAGTGTTTAGAGCTGAGCATCGCATATTTCTGGCATGTTTCCGAAGAACAGTTGCACACTCGCCCATCTGTATCACAAGAAAAACCTCTGACAGCAATGATTAGTGTAAGAAGGAGGAGACGAATCCTCAGGAGATGATGCAACAGCTATAACATTAGATTACACCAGCACAAGTAGATAAGTGCTGGAGGAAGAATTCAGATGCAACATATAAATAGACCACAAGTCCAAGTATTGCAGTGAAAATGTCAGCAAGCTGTACTTCTATAATCCACTGTATATAATATAATCACTATATGATTATATAATGCCAATTTAGAATCACCAGTTAAAACTAGCATGTATGTCTTTATACAACTGATTCACGTCATCTGTGAGAGATCTAACTGATGATGTAATTTGGGGAGTTACTGTTACACTGTATTATATTTTGGGTCCACGTACCACCTAGCACAATGTGTGTGGTGGATTGAAATGGGCAATATTCATCTTCTACCACAGGTCAGAACTCATAATACAACAGAACTTGTTTGTGGGTCATTTTTGGCGAGAGTCGAGTTTTTGGCAATATTTATCAGTTGTTACCAAATGTGTTAATGTTTAAAATACTGTAGAAACACTAATGTATCAGTGAATAATGTTTCAGCTGTCATCTTTTCTTTTTAAAATCTAGTTTTAGTTTAGTTTTATGTGGCCCTGATAACCCTCCAAAAGTTGATTCTGTTCATCTGGACGTAGCGTTTTCACAGGTTTTCACGGGAGACTGACGACGTCACCTGGATGATGACGAAATGTTTCTCCCACTGAAAACATCCAGATGAACAGAAACAACTTTTGGAGATTTACTCACCTGGATGATTGAGAATGCTTCAAGATGACCATGATAACGCTGAGTTACACTGTGTGCACTGTGTCAGACACCTGCTTATCTTCTCTCTGCCCTCTGCTGCCCCCTGAAGGTCAGTTGTAAATTTGCCACTGTGTTGTCTAACTACTGCATCATGGCCAACTACAGCTGGCTGCTGGCTGAGGGCTACTACCTGTACAAACTTGTCAGCGCCTCGCTGTTCTCTCAGAGGAAACACTTGTCGTGGTACATCATCCTTGGCTGGGGTATGACAGCTCAGTAGCAGTCACTGTTACTATTCTTTATTATTATTTTTCTTTGTTTCACTCTGTTTATTTGGATGTCAGTATTTTGCTGATCTATATAGTCCTCTTATTGATAATAGCAGAAGGTAAACGCTAACGTTTCTCTCGTCTTCCAGGTTCTCCAGTGATTATCATGAGTGGCTGGAGTTTTGCTAAGTACCTCCATGAAGATGAAGGGTAAGCTCAACACATATTAAACTGTATAGTACAAACAGTACACATGATCACATGTTTTTGGACATTAAAGGAATAAATGTAAAATGATTACATGCTGGGAATAAATACCTCCCTTTCTTCTGATTCCTAGGATTTCTCTTCATTTCAAATATCAAACTGTTATTTAAAATACAGGAGTTTATGGCCATATTAAGTGCTGTCATTAGCAACTTTGAGTGAGATGGTGATGAAATTCAGAATGAAGATTGTTACATGACCCATCTCTCTTGTATGAAGGAATATTAGCACCACGTCAATAAAAATATTTGGTAGCACTTTCTATTACAAGTCAGTAATAAAGAGGTAATAGTAGGGTAACAAGGAGAAACAAGACTCTAATAATGTGGTAATTGTTACCACTCAGTTACCTTTGGTAGTTTCTGTGTAATAGGCAGGAAACAGAGCTGCAGAACACAAAGCTGGCTTTTTAAATTTTTAATAACAAATTAATAACCAGGTAATAATCTTTTCAATTCAGTTTCACTTCAATTTTATTTGCACAGCACCAAATCACAACAACAGTCACCTCAAGGCGCTTTATATTGTAAGGTAGACCCTACAGTAATACATACATTTGTGGGTCAGCTGCCCGCTTGCAAAATGAAAAACTTTAGGTTTTGAAAGAAAAACAATGTTAAAGCAAGCGTGATGTAACTGGTAGACCTTTGAGCAACAATGTCACAGATACAGACTGTCCTATTAGAAAAATGCACCGTCATAATTTGTGTATAAAGTAAAATCATTAATTCATCCTTTTAATTTTCTGCCCAATATAACATTTTGGAATATTTCATTTAGAAATAAACCACTACAAAGTTTACTGTGGGTGGATAGCGCTATTCTGAGTACACCCTCACCAATTGTTGAAAACTGGAGTGCTCAATTTATGGGTAAATACATATATAAGTGCTAAAACAGGAATAATTTCCCTTCTTGTTACTATAACTGATTCTAAAGTACAATTTTACTAACCCAGAGAAACAACTGTAATCTTTATTTTTAGATTTTTTTCCCAAAATAGTATTTCAACTTTTTTCTCATAAGAGATTTTTGATTTTAATCTCCAAATTTTGAGTTAATTCTCAAAATGATCTTGGTTTTTTTTTTCTTAATGTGGCCCTCATACTCCATCGTACGTCTGAGACAGGATGCATCTGTATCAGCAACAGACTAAATTGGAAGATCAGAAGCTTTATACAAAAAGGGGACGAGTAGAAAAGCTGAGAACCTTCAGTGTTTGTAAAATTATGGACAATATCTATGACTAATTTATGGTCTGCATAGTGTACAGTGCTGGGAGAGCAACACTGGAGCTGCTGACATCAAGAGACTGAAAAAACGACTGTCCCTGAGTCTCATCTGTCACATTATTGTTGTTGTTGTTGTTGTTGGTGTTGTTGTTGTTGTTATTGTTATTATTATTATCACCATCATCATCATCATCATCATTATTATTATTGTTATTATTATTATTATTATTATTATATTATTATTGTTGTTATTGTTGTCATTATTATTATTATTATCACCATTATTATTATTATTATTATATATCCCTTTAAAAGCAGGATACTCAATGTTATTCTCCACAGTTAGGGATTGATTGGATTAGGTTTGGGAATGTTAAACTACCACATATAGGTTGGTGGGATCAACTGTAAATATTTTGTGTCTAGATATTTTTGGCCATATATTTAATTCAGTAGCTTGAAATCCTGACCAATTACTGTGACCAGTTACTGTCACTGACATCGTGTTTGTTTATGTTTCCTCTCTTAAGTTGCTGGGAGATGAGAAGGAGTGAATGGATCTGGTGGATTCTCAGACTTCCTGTTCTACTCTTCATTATAGTCAGTTCTTCCTTATGTTGATCTTTCTGTAAAAAAATGATTGCATGCTCTGAAAGCTTCCTTGTCATTGCTCTGGACACTAGCAGGTTGCTAAGGAAACCAGAAGTTCATGCAAACTTCTGGTGACCATAATACAAGGACCTACAATCTACTGACCAAATGGTATTGGAAGTGCAAAGAGTGCAACACAAACCAGAAATGGAGAACATTCGCCTTCACAGTACAAGTTGTATCTGTGAAATGTGTTGGTCACAAACTTCAGGTGCAATTTGTACTTTGAAGACGAGATTTCACGGTTTCTGGTTTGGATCACACTTTTTCAAGTTTCACTATAATTCCATGAAAATGGAATGGCCAGACAAGTCAGGTTCTTCCTTGTATAAGGAGAATGTTGGAGCAGCACACTCTTTCCAACTGATTCCCCCAAACAGCAGCCACCAATCTCTGGCAATCACTTGACAGCCATTCACAGAAAGTTGTGGTGGATCTTTAGTATTAAAATTTCTGTATGGCTGTAAATACTTAATCTTTTATGATAAGCATAGACACAGTTTCACTTTAAGACATTATTAAAACTGTGGGTTATGATATAATTAACTATTGGGCCAGTGATTTAATGGTTCCAGAAATGAGCGCAACAGGAAACAGTCACATCAAAAACAACAAAGCAGAGATCCAATAAAGAGTGTTTACACTGTAGCAAGGCAGCAGTTTCTAATAATTGTGTGAAAGCATCATTCATCCCAGGGAGCAGCGCCTAAAGCTGAAGCTCTGCCTGCTTTGTTTTCCAGGTGAACTTGTTGTTCTTCCTGTGTATCCTAAAAATACTGGTGGCCAAGCTAAGGACACAAGACATGCCCGGCAATGAATTCAATCACTACAGGTGAGTGACTTACTTCAGTTTTCTATTCCACAGAACTGTGAAATGGCCCCAGTCAAAGCTAACCAGCTATTATGTGAAAGAGACTCTGAAGCGCCTTGAGGCAATTGTTGTTGTGATTTGGCACTACATGAATAAAATAAAACCGAATTGAATTAGAGAAGCTGGGTGGTGCAAAACGTTGTTTCAATGAAACCTTTTACTCCAACGTTTGTTTGCTGAAGGCAAGAAATGAGATAGAGGACATACAAACTGTATGTGTGGGGTGGCTGTAGTTCAGGTGGTAGAGCAGGTCAGCCACGGTCAGTGGTTCGATCCCAGTCTGCTCCAGTCTGCATGTCAAGTATCCTTGGGCAAGATACCAACCCCATGTTGCTCTCCCATGCATCCATCAGAGTGTGAATGGTGTATGAATGTTAGATAGAGCACTTAAGAGCTTAGAAGAATGTGTGATTGGATGAATGAATTAGTTGTATAAAGCACTTTGAGTGCTCAGACATTCTTCACTGACGTGTTGAAGGCAGAGAAGTTGCGGTGATGCATTTGATGAGTGTATAAAGATTAATCTGGCTTTTATGTGGAAGAAGTAATTGGTTTCAGCTCACCTAGCAGAATATAAGAAAAGCCTCTTTTATTCAAAAAAAATGCTCATAGTTCAGTAACATTGATTAAACAGGTCCAGTGTTCGTATCACTACTCAAATAAAAGTATGAAATATTACTCATATGTTTTAAATTTGCATTTAAACACCCATGTGATTTACTGATGTAGAAAGTAATTTGTGAATCATTACATCAATCATTACCTTTACTTTGTAATAGTACCTGGGCACTTGCAGTTAACAGTGTAACACTAAACTTTTCAAATGCTCACAAATCTTTTTCTTTGTAGTACCTTAGATCTTAGTAATACCATAAAGCTTCCACCTAAGTCAGAACGCTCGGAAAACGTTATGGTGACAAGAGGAAATGTAATTACACCTAAGCCTGCTCTAGGTTGGAAAGTAGCAAATGGACTGACACTTGGAGAGAAAAGTTTGCTACAGGCATCATTCACCCATCCACACACATATTTGTACTATACTTTATTCTGTGGCTTTAAGTGTTTATTAACTATCTATGCAACTCCAGATAAACACAAAAGCAGCAGCAGCACTTTTTTTTATTAGTAACTATAATGTGATTCCTGAATTTAGTATTTGTTATAAATTTTTACATTGTAGACAAATGCAATATGATTACAGTAATGCATTACTTTGAGGGTTTATACACCACAGTAAGCCCACCATAAAAGGTGAGCTACTTCCCCTATGGGCAGAAATC